ACGTACTTCACCTCGCCTCTTCGATGAAGACCTGCTTTGACCTCGCTGTATCAATCACTGTGTATTTTTCAATTTTTAAGACCTACCAGGCTGGCCTTTTATGTACTTTATCAAAACTTTATGGCCCAGTTTATTACTTTATGGTCCAGTTTATTACATGATTGTACTGTGTACCTACAAGTGTGCGTACAATTAGCCTAGCCTTCAATCTCAAAATGTAGGCTGGTGGTTCGGCGTAGACAATAGAAGTCCGAAAACACAACTGTTTCTTCAAAGGTGAGTCAAAGACTCCTGTGTGTTTTGATTTCTTGTGCCGGCTATACTAAACTCCATGACCTTTTTGAGAAAGTGCGGTCTTTGTTAGTCTGCCCGTTCTGCGAGAAACTGTGACAAAAATAATATGGCCAGCGTGTGAATCAACAAAGTGGTGTACATTGAGGAACAGCTTTATTGAATCCCTCAGAACAGCGTGCTTCCCGAGTTTGTGAAACCAACCAACGCAGGTTGCGGCTTCCTCTCACAGGTGACAAGATACGGTAAGTCTTTGTTTTCAGGGCGCTGACTAGTTGCTGCCGTACTGGTTCGGACTCAGCACTCCACGTTCGCTGTTGTCGCAACCCCCAGACACCATCCATTCCTGTTGCGTCTATTGCATCATTCAGCCAGGCCACTTGTCAGAGGCTTAGCTAGGCCCAGGAATAACAAATTCAGCATAGTACCTCGAGTAGTCCCGAACAGCCGGAACCCAGAGAGGTCAACGATAGAGGTCACTCCAGCATCGATCAGAGCAGGAGGGCAGGGGAGATCAGGCTCACAATCCACGTGATCATCGATCAATCAGGACACAGGATAACAGAAGAACCAATGGAACCGACCGAACAAACAACCACTCGTGATCAAACGTTAGCCCCGGCTAGCAGCCTGTATATTAACACACACAGAACACTACTCAACGCACAACCACTAACCCACCGCTACGCACCACTACGCCCCCCCATAACGCACTGATGATGTCACCTCGATTGGTAAGGAAACGTTTGCAATCCAAATTCCCATCTCAGCGAACAAACCACCGACCATCTATGCTTCCAATATTCTCTTCTATAGTCCCGTGACTGTTTTCTCTACTGTGTGATATACGAACCAAAGTTGTGTGGATGACGTCGGATCGCGCATATGGAATGCGCTTAAGAATCGTAACCAACTCTTCAAAAGTCCTTGATCTGATCGATTTAAAGTAACCCCATCATCCCTATAACACCAGTCTGATAAGCCACAGTCACTGCACGANTGGGTTAGGTGAGTCTACGTCGGTCATCCGGCCGTCGATGCTAATATCCCGGAATCCCGGACAAAGGGGTTCTGCTGAGTGCCATTACGTTATTGTAGATCAAAATGAGTTGTTAACTTTCGCTTGTCTGTCACCCCTCATGTGAAATCGTGCTGGTCACTTTTGTACAGATTTAACTGGAAGACTACAACACCAGTTTCAGACCTGTTCCACTGCTACATCAACTGGAGGTCAAAACGGTGGTGCGCTGACACGAGGTTGCTTAGGCACAAAAGGCCAGGCCATTAGACTTGAGTCAGCAATGGGACCAACCGGATCTTATGAAAGTTCAGTGAAACCCGTGTACCAAGAGTTTTGCAGGGAAAACTTAAAAAGATAAGTTCTAATTACGATATTTATCTTCCACACATGCAACAAAATCCTCTTTTGATGAACACTCAATGGTATCCGGAAAGATATTAAAACGCAATACCAAACACCAGGAATCGTCACTGCAGCTGTTTCCGGAAACTGACACCACGTTCAATTGTACGAAAAGTTCAACATCGATTTTCTCGAACCCATTAAAAAAGAGGCAAAACTGGTAATATTGGGATTCTGGGTGAGGTGTATTGTCTCTGTAATCTCGAGTTACAGTATAGTACATAGGAAAGCGAAGGAGGAATCGGGAGAGCACTATCCCTCCACTGCTCACATGCTTATCGACAATATGAGGCTGTTCATTCAACAGCCACATAGCACAGCAAAGGACAGTTGGTAAAGACTTGATACACCACTCATAAGGCCATGATATCTCGAATATCGTACCAACCGAATCATGAGGCGGCCTGGTGCAGCACATTAAGTTGATTAAAAACATCATAAATAACTAGAGATTCAGTTGGATTTCACGTGGGTCTCTCTCAATACCAAATTTGTTTGCAAGTGAGCGTATTTTGCTGCAGTTGGTATGGTTTCTTGACGAGAAACACGACTCAAACGGTGTGCTTTGTGGACACCACCACAGGGGAGACTGTTCGTCAAGAAATTGCCACGGGTGGGATGAAATATGTGGGACAACTCCAGCCCGTTTGAGCCACGTCAACATTCGTTTATCGGACGATGGAGCACTCGGTTGAGGAAGTAGATGGTCCAGTAGAAATCGCAGGCAGCAAGCCCCCAGGATCGATATTTGTACCCATTTTAGAATACGAAAAGACAAACCGCCTGTTCAAAATTCAAGTCTACACAGTCAAGCCGGAACTGTCGAGCATTTCGCGCATCCTGGTAGCTTTCCATTTGTTTAGGGGTTTGTGTCCTTCCATTGTAGTTAAGCCCCTCCGTAGGGAGAACGTTTCAAACACGCGCATTGCTAACAATGCCCTGTCGGGACCGCCTATTTTGCCGTACCTGATCTTCTTTCTTGATAACGTTTAACAAGTCAGCAGTGCTATTATCTACATGCTAAAGGAAGAAGGCATTTGCTGAGGAGTTATTTATTAGAAAATGCCAACTGAACAGTTACAGACTGTTGGACAGGGAAGCAAAACTCTCATATGCATCTTGTTTATAAAAACTTAATGTCCATCTTCTGTTTGAACGCGTCTTGCTGAACTTTCCTGGATATTCATTGACTACCACTCAAATTTAAACGAATGCTATAAAGCAATTGTACAAATTCCATGATAAATCCCACTTTCCAATAGACGCGAAGTGGAGGTAAAAGAAAACATACTACTTGCATGTCACATCAGTAGTATCAACCGTTACACCGGTATGGAGTATTGTGTTGGCCAGCCAAAGGTCAATTAATGGAAGGCTGAATGAAGTGTCACAGGGTGACATAATCACTGACAACTTAGTTTGCCGGGGTGATGTTCAGGTAGTGTCTTCAGGTGAGTTCGTTCTGTGAAACCTGCTGAAACAAATGTACTGTGTCACCTAGACTCCAGTAGTACATCTGGCACTGAAAGTTTTGATGACCTTCTCGATGTACGAATGCTCCTGGGATAAAGTCCGATGAGCTCGTATCTGCCGTCTGAACTCGACAGGATCGTGGGTTCCACTTTTGAAGCCGAATACAGCGCAACTTACTTCCAGACACACAGTAATGGATGAAAGAAATCTCATTGCTAATTTGTCTCAGACTCGAATAGTCGCTTCATGTGGATCAGCAAAGATGGATTACACAACTAGTGGAAGCTTAGAAGCAGGTATACTTGGTTTCCCTGACAGGTTCAGCCAGTACGTACGACGAACCGCTGGTGCTAGCCATCGTATGTAGTGATCTACTGCTGAAACGCGAACTTGCGGCAGCCTGTCTGAATAATCATTTGAGCTAGCAGGAGAGTAGTGATGAGCCCGACAAACTGATGCGCCTGACGCGTCTATTTTGAACTCTAGCTGGACTAGCGATAATGAACTGATTCACGTAAAACAAGTGTTAGATTTCGTAACGCACTACTCATAACGTTGCTGAAAATTCCTCGACATCCTACGACCAGTTTCGCCCTTCTTGGGGCTCATCAAGTAGGCGCCGAGTCCCTCGAAATTGCAAATAAATGTTAGATTCCCTCCGGGCAGAATGATGCTGGATGGTTGAAGGGTGCAAATCAAACAACTATTGTCAAGGTACAGCGTTATATTGGGAAGTTAGTTTGGAGGCCATCCCGTACACCGGGGTTCACTAGACGTTCCGTCTCATCCAGAACGCCTCATGCTGTGCAACCGTCGAAGAAGCCAATTGGATCTGACCGACCGCATCATTGTGTCCGCTGGAAAAGGTTCATGTAAAGCTAGTAATGACAGTCGCAATCTGCTGTCTCAGTTGAGGATCAACCAATCTGTCGTGTCAAGAGGTAGTCATCACAGTCCAGCGAGTTGAGCTGCCTCCAGCCGGTTTTCCGCAAACGAAGCGGAGGGAAGTTCGTCAGCTTTCCGACACTTAAATTGGCTGACTGTCCCTTTGTGTTTTTCGCGTACACCACAAACCCTCACCACGGCTGAAGTAGTGCCCTTTTTTCATCGGTCATCACTTAGTCATCACCTGTCCTGCAGGCTGTAGGTGAATTTTACTGCCCATGCAGTTAGTCACTCCTAAGTGTTTGAAGATCTATCTTGGGCCTTGTACGAGTTCAGAAGGGCTGATATGCTTGTCAGACCTTGGTTTTGCCCATTATCTGGCCATCCATGCATGAATCGTGGGACTGTCGTTCACAAAACGATATTTGATCCCGAAGTTGGTGAATAACGTATACCCAGGGTGTGGAGTGAATATGCGAGAGACGCATGTCAGTTAGCCCCAATACCGTGTGCATGCCTTGTCCATTCAGTTATTCGGACAGTCCTTCTATGTCAGCAATCTACGTTAGACCACAATCGTTCTCCTGTTACTCGCAATGAGCCATGATAATTCATGTGAACCATACCGCAGATTTTTTTTAAAACGACGAAGCCCTCACGAACAAGACGTGGCATTGGAGACCAATGAAATGCTGGTCGAGGAAAAAACGACAATTGAAGAAGTCAATGAGCTGATAACACCAAACTGACATGAGTTTTATCAAAGAATACAAATAGCATACGAGTAGCGGATTGTACCAAAATAAGACAAAAAGTACATACGATGAGAAAACCATTTCAGTTTGTGCCTTTGTCATCGATTCTCGTAAAAGAAGCAGAGGCTAGTCCCAGGAGGCGATTGTGTTATGAAAGCGACCTTATGTTCTTGCTATTCAAAGTCACCGTAGTCATCATACTCCTCTGAAGGTGGCGACAAAGATCCCCTGTTCATGCCTGTATCACTTGCGGGTTGATTTCTCTTTCGTTGCTGAAGAAGAGTGGAAATAAAGGTGAAAAGTTCATAGACACACTTGTGGGTACCGTTGTAACAAGGTCTGTAAGTGAGGTAGACGGCCCCGTTGATGCTCGTGTTTATACACGACGTTGAAAACACAAAATGATATCACACAGGTACCGACTTAAGATCACCACCAAACGGCAGAGGACGGATGCATTCGTTACTCCTTTCCACAAATGTCTAGTGAGCGCTGCAAACGGTTGACGCTTCGGAGCGCAGAAGTCCCATTGGCTAATCACTAATAACTTACTACTTGTGAGTAATATATTCTAAATCAGATTTTCTTGTGATGAATAACTGCGCATTTAGCGAATATGCACTCATTTGCAAACTAATTTAGTTTTTCGAGAGACTCACCTGAAACCCAGCTGAATCTCTCGTTCATGATGTTCTCAGGAAACTGAATGTGCTGCACCAGGCCGACTCATGTTTCAGTCGCTACGATATTTGAAGTATCGCGATACATGTATATCTTTGTAACGTACTACTCATAGGGTTGCTGATAATCCGTCGTCTGTGCATTCAGATTCGGTTTATGGGGCAACAAAAAAGTTGAGCTATAATTTATGCCACACCATCCTCACCTCTCTATAATTTTGCGGATTTCGAAAAAATAGGTCGTATTTTAGAGGTAAAAAAGGTAGATTTCTATCGAAGGTCCTGACAGCATGGCGGAAGAATTTTCCGGTCAGAAAAGCCTTATTTGCTCCCTGGGTAGTTGATCGGAGAAGCGTACAGCACAAAGTGTGCCTTTAGAAAGCACGAGAATAGCATGACGAAGCAGGATAAATAATAGAAGGGAACATACACCAACTCAGAACAGAACCACAGATGGCCTACTGTTCAATTTTCAATGGGTGTAGCGTAAAGCAGCCAATTTGTGTGGGGAAATCCAGGGCTACTTCGTCAGATTTTCACCTGAAGATAAGAAAGACCTACGAAAACCCTGTTTCCAAGCTGAAAGTAATTAGTTCACATAGGAAAAGTGAGTCCCCAACTGGCCCGGATGGGGATCGAACCCACGACATTCGCGTTATTAGCACGACGCTCTAACCAACTGAGCTACCAGGCC